AATGAATGGATGGATGGATGGATGGATGGATGGATGGATGGATGGATGGATGGGTGGATGGATGAATGGGTGGGTGGATGGATAGGTGGGTGGATGGATGGATGGATAGGTGGGTGGGTGGGTGAATGGATGGATGGATAGGTGAGTGGGTGGGTGGATGGATGGATGGATAGGTGGATGGGTGGATGGATGGATGGATAGGTGGATGGATGGATGGATAGGTGGATGGATGGATGGATAGGTGGATGGATGGATGGATAGGTGGATGGATGGATGGATAGGTGGATGGATGGATGGATAGGTGGATGGATGGATGGATAGGTGGATGGATGGATGGATAGGTGGATGGATGGATGGATAGGTGGATGGATGGATGGATAGGTGGATGGATGGATGGATAGGTGGATGGATGGATGGATAGGTGGATGGATGGATGGATAGGTGGATGGATGGATGGATGGACGGACGGACATATATATAGATAGATAGATAGATAGATAGATAGATAGATAGATATGGAAATTAAATAAATTATAGAATATAATAATAATCAATTAAATACAAGTACAATCAAGAATAATCATGAGTATAGTGTGTTCTGCAACAGTGTTCAGATTTGTGCCAGTTTTTCCCCCTCTGCTTTCTCTGCAGTGCTGCTCTGCCCTAGTTTATTAATAAGCTCTTGCACTGCAGACACCTGCATAAGAAGTTCTGCTGACCTCTACTTTATTAAACATGCCTTCCGGGCAAAGAAAACCTGGCCTGTGCTTTAACAACAGACAGATAAAGCAGGGATGACAGATCAAACTGAAAAGCTAAACTAAACGTGGTGTGTTCATTGAATTTTAATATTCATCAGTCACAAAAAACTGAGCCCTGTAAACTTCAAAGTAATCATTACATGACAGCCATCAACATCTTCATCTCAGGCCCCTCTGTAAAATACAAATACAAAAAACTGCCATAATTTTAAACTCATTTTTAATCTTCAGATTATAATTTTATAACCAAGTAACAGCTTTGAAAGAGGAATTCAATTTTCCTTTTTTGTGCAATTCTTAGTCTTTTATAACTGGCCTTTCTGAGCACTTCAACAGGATCTCAAAGCAATTCCTTCACTAGCTCACCTACTGAAAATCTTAAAGGAATAGTTCACCATAAAATTCAAATTTGAATATTATTTTCTTACCTATATGTCAAAGTATATGACTTTCATTCTTCATTCGCTATACTGTACAAAAGTTTGGAACTGGTAAGATTTTTTTTTAAAAGTCTCTTAGGCTGGCCGCACACTAGACGATTTTAAGACCGATTTTAAGAAGCCCGATTTGCATCCCCGAACGATCGGGGGGTGTGGCCCGATTCGCGGCTTGTCGCAAAAGATTTTATGTCCAAAAAATCCTCTATTGTGTGGTGTCATTACGATTATTTATCTGCTCCCGATCGAGACGGAGCGTCCCCGAAATCAAATAGTAAATATCAAACATGTTCGGGCCGCCTCTGACGTGATAACCGCGATAGCAAGCGTCACCTACCGGATGCTGCGTGCTTCTATAGATGAAACTTGGCAGCCACAAACATGCCATGAAAGCAGAGAACATTACCCATTTTCTTTTCTATACTTTGTTTTTCACTGTGAAACAGAACGCACGCTAGGAGAGCCCGCTGACAACGTTGATTGTCCTCTATTTGTTTTTCTTCTCTAGTCACGTTTGATCCTGCGAGTGTGAGATCGCATGTCAGGGTCACTGAAATCATTCCTACAATCGACAAGAGTGTGGTCTCGCGGTCTGGTCAAATCG